TTTTTGTATTTGCACAGCCGCGTTAAACTGTAGCCAACTAATGTTGCGATTTAATTCGGGGAAAGTGCCACTGCGAATCGCGACCTGTCGGCAAATATTAGGCAGAGGTAATTAACGTGGGTATATTTGTCTTAGGAGGAAGATCGCGCCGCGTTCGCCATGGAATTTAACCGTGTCAAACCTCGGTGCTGCGCGCCGAGACGCGCACGTTGCCCGAAGAAACCACGGTATCCGTCAGCCGGGTGTGCCGTAGAAATTACGTAGTTCGTTGAGAGCCAACCGTCGACTTCGTAAACAACCGGGGGAATGACAGCACGACGTAAACGCGCCAAACAGCTCGCGAACCGTCATTACCTTAGTAAACGCTACCGAGGGATGGCTCGGGGGCATGGCGTGAGGGCAAAACGAGACACTTACTGTACAGACGAATCGTCCCGTCGGTTTCCCCGCGTGGGTTCTTGGCGATGCACTTGTAGCTACCGTAGTCTTCTTTCTGAAAGCAAACCGTCCCGAGAATAGGTTACCCTCTAAAATGCATAGAAATTTTAATGGAGAGTAATCATCAGAAATCAGATATTTCTTCATCGTAATATTTGGAATTTAAAATTGAAACGCTCTTCATTTTTTCCACGCTCTTCAAATCATAACTTTATCAAGGAGGATGCATTTTATTTTTTTATAATTAATAAGAAAATAGAATCACGCGCGTATACGAAATATATATATTTTCTTTAAACGTTAATCGATGATGGATATCGTTGCATCGCGTTGGAATTTTATTATCGTTATTATTGAGTAGTGATAAAATATTCTGATATATCTCCAGCGCCGTATATATATTTTATGCACTTTTATTGTATATACATATACTCCAGACGAGTGCTTTATTACGCTCATCGTCTGTCGCGTTGATCACCAGCGTGCAACGATCGTGATTTACGATATGGCGCTATTACCCAATCGTGAATTTTAACGCGGTGTACATAATTAAGCCGCGCGCTTTTTTAACAGCAATTACGTTGCGTTCCGCTACAATTATCGTGCAATTCTAATTCATTAAACATGCAGGAAAATTTACGCCGCTCAATTTTTGCGTAATGTATTGGAAGAGATAAATTTTTTTACGGCATTACTATACCGTTTGTACAACCAATAATTTTTATTCGATAAGAGAAAAAAATTTCTTTTTTCTTTTCTCTACAAATCGTTTATAAAATTACAAATGTATCAGGGGGTATCATTATTTGAAAATTATTTGGATATTTTTAATCGTATATTAATCGAAAGCCGAGCAAAATTGTTGATCGTCGGCGAGATGCACAAGGGAACCTCCTCCACTCACCTGTATATCGAATATCGTGAGCGTCATGTGAGTTTTGTAGGATGGTCTGTCGGGTAACGACGTAGTCTTGTATTTACTGCTCTCGTGAATCATTAGGCCGTCCTCCCTCGCCCAGTAATTCAAAGAAGTCGGATGAGCCTCGGTATAACATTCCAGCGAAACGGAGTAACCCAAGGGCGCGCCGACCAATTGGTGCGGTATCCAGAGCATAGGGGGAACTGCAACAACAGAAGTGATTGATTGGCTCATAAATGTTCCAATTACTAACAATACACGATGGACCTACGATCGATATCCCTTTCACGCGTCTATAAATCTCGTGCCTCGACTCGGTAGTCGAAAATCGCTGTGAAACCGCGGCGCGAAGAGGTGAGTCCAAGAGACGATGTCGAACTCTTTTTCGCCAGAACTCGCTTTTTCGAATATAACTGGACGTATTATATTCTTCACTCGGAATAGGAAGTCATTCGCCCCAAGTCACCCCGCTCTGTCAGCCTCCAATCGAAATTGGTGGAGGAACGAATACGTCTCCGTATAAAAAGGATCCTTCTTTCCCCAATTACAATTTTTAGACGGCATTATTACTTAGATATCTGTATTGGTAATAATAGGATAGTTAGGTAAAGACCAGTGAAGAAAACAGAACGTTGCCAAAGCATGACACGTGACCTTAACTATAGCTCCGCTAACAAGTTATTCATTCATAAAAAAGACGTTTATGATCATTACGGAAACAAAATGAATAGAAAATTATTACAGAAATAATTGCATAATGTATATCGATATAAATGTTTACTTACAATTGCCTACAATTTGCCTTTTGGTTCTTTTATCATCTTCTGTTATAAAAAGAAATTTTTCCATTTATTCAATTATCCTAATTACACTAAAAAATGTTAGGGTTTGCAAATTATTTTTTATAATTTAAATTAATATGTTGAGATTAGGTTCACTACATTTTCAATATCTCATAAATATAACTGAGAAAATAAATTTTTTACAGTTGAAATATGGACGTGAGAATAAAATATTACATTTTTGTAGATTGAGAGAGAGAGAGAGAGAGAGAGAGAGAGAGAGAGAGAAGAGCCTTTTTAAAGTTTTATATAAACGTAACATGAAAAAGGCTGGGCTTAATTTTTGCTATATGTCGTGAATCCTAAATGCGTATCACGCGGCCCTTTAATAAAAAAGTAATCCCATTTCGATGAACAGCCCTTGGCGTTGTTGTCGGCGCTGGTGATAACATTTCCTCGAGGTAAGAGCGCTTCAATTTAACTTAAACCTCCTAAGAATATACCTAACCCATCTTCTCTTGCAGAGTATCGCAATGTTCGCGAGGAAAATATCACGCAAAATAAGCTAGTTACAAATGGCTGGTGGTTGCAAGCAGTAAAAGTATAAACAAGGGTAAATGACTATCTTTCACAAACGTTTCTGTTTACACATGTCATCCTTAAGGAAGAGATCAATATTAAAAAATATCAATTTGAAATCGTGCTGAAAAAATTTGACGCATGTTGAATTAAAAAAATGATCAAAATCACGTAAATGATTTCAGAATTTAAATAATATCATTATTCGTTGAACAATCGTGGAGAAATGAACTCTACAAATTCCACAGAGAATTAAATATTTTCTTTCCTGAAGTCAAAAATAATTAAAATCTTAATTTATAAAATAAAAATTTTTAAATAAAAATTTTAAAAATAAAAATTAAAATCTTAATTTATAAAATAAAAATTTTTGTGTACGATAAATAGTTCAATTTTATAATTAAATTGTACTTACGAAATTATATATAATTTAATTATCAAAAAGTCAAAATCTCTGTGTATTTTTCTTTGTACACATATCTATCTTTCAATTTATAAAGCTAATTTATGAATTTATTATTTTTTTGGCGATCACAAATCTTTCGAGCATCTTTACGAAATAAAAGTTGTCTTGTAATCTTTTTCTTTGAACTCGACAATTTTCCGTGATTTATACCGCAAATCTCCTCATAAATTAACAATTAATTTTAATTATGCAATAAAATTAATCCGTTAAAAAACTGCTTGAGAAATGTATCCTATAGAGGAGAGAAAGTTTTTTTAAGAGAGTTTCTCTTAGAAAAGGGAAAGAGAAACAGGGTTTGTCGGCTCCTGGATACTGAATCTACGATCGAGTTTGCTCTCGTTTCATCTGGGATCTCCTTTAAGCAAGAGCCTCAGTAAACGGCGACTCGATTAAATGCGATTGTCCTTCGAGTCTTCTAGAAAATGACCACACGAGAGTCCGACCAATCCGTTTCCGGCGACTGTTTTCCAACTTTTTCATTCATTCGCGGCGACTCTTCCGAATTTTCATTGACACGGATTCATTAATTTCATGCTCGTAGAATATTATTCGGTTTTAATGTAATAGAGGACTCAAAATACATATAGAATATATTCGAATATATGAGAATCTCAAATTGTTTTAGTGTCAAATTGATTTGACACGAAAGTCTCATAAATCTAAAATACATCGAAAGTCTTGAAAGTTTTTTATTTCAGGAGATATATATTTTTGCAACATTTATTATTTCAATCCATCCACGACTACGATTTATAAATCATTAGAAATATAAGAAATTCAACATTGTAAGCAAGAGTAATTAAAGAAATATTCCAAGATTTACATTTCTTATAATTCAGTAATTAAACAGCAAAAAAAGAAAAAACTATACCTTTAATGTCAAACTTGTTTTTTTTTGTTCATAAAATATGCAAAATACATGGATTAGAATAAGATTAGAATAAATTTTCGATATATAATTTACAATGATAAAAATAACGTGTGTAAAATCTAAAATAAATGTTGTTAAATGTAACACTGAACTTCATTGCTAAACACGCTTGTGCGGATTCTCCGTTCGTTCACTGTAAAGCGACCTCGCTAGCATCGGTCGTCTCGCCGGGGGTGTTCTTTTTGCCATGTAATACAGGATCGTGAATTACTACGGATTTCAAGGGAGGGATCGCTCTTGTGCCTCTCGTGTCTCTCTCTCTCTCTCTCTCTACCCTTTTTCCCTTCTTTCCCTCCTGCCCTGCTTCGGCGACGAGCGCGAGGCGGCAACGGGGAAGGCCTGTCTTCGGATAACGCAAAGGATATCCGACACCTTCTTAAAATGCAAAACATTCCGTCTGAGGGTGAGAAGGGACCGACCTAGGTTGTCTGTAATGCTTCGGATCCTTATTGCGTAGACAAGCTCGGGCTTTGCTAGCACTAAGGCCGCCGACCGGAGCCGGCCGTTCGACGTTCTACATTCGTTTTTTTCTTTCACAAATTATCTTTTACACGCGATGTCAAATTCCATCAATGAAAGCGAGATCCTTTCAGCGCAAGACATTGCTTTGCATCTCCGCATCTATGCATCGACAAACTTGATAATTAATTGCAAGATGTAAAATAAATAAACCTTTTGTAATGACAAAAATGGACAATAATATGGCTAATGAGAATCAGCGCTGTAAACAGTGCGCAATTTTATGTTTAATTGTAACTACATTTATTAATAAAAAAAAAAAACCAAACGTTTCGACTCAAATTTAAATTATCTTCAGTGGAACAAAAAGAGTAGTAAAGATATATTTCTGAGTCCAATCGGTGAGTTCAACCATAAAAATAATGATAATATCATGTTGATTAATAGATGGACACAGATCACGATAAAAAGAAAAATTTTTGGAATGACTTTACAGCTTTTTTCATACATTCTGTGTTTTCCAACTGACTTAAAAATGATTCTTCCTTAAAAGTACAGCAATAATTTCTATTTTCTTTATAAGATGTAAAAGAAGAGATTGAAAGATTGCCATTTTTTAATATCTTTTTATTTTTCGATCTCCGATCCGAAGAAATGTTTCCACTTTAATAGAATTTTAATTAACGACATTAGGTACAAGAATAAATGCGCAATTACATTCATTAAACTGTGTTATATAAGCAAGGAAGAAATGACGTCGAGGAATCACAGAGTCGTTTTCATTTTCAATTTTCACAAAATTTCATTTCATTTCGACTCGCGGGATATACAACAATACGCGTTCCGTAGTGGGAAATTTTTACAGGTAATAGATATTTTACCAAGCAAAGTGATCCGCGGTGAGCGGTTGAAGGGTTTAAACATTAGCCACGGGCCACTGCGAAATGTAAACGACGTTGAGTTAGATTGCAGAGAACAATGTGTGGAACGACCCGCAAGGTAGATGAAAGCTAATTCAGGTGGAAGTTAAACAGAGTTAAAGGTAACGTCCTTTGCGAAGGGTAGGCCAGGCTAGGTCGCGAGAACGAGGGTTAGGTTACGAGAGCTCGACCTTACATTCATCATGCGGGAGGCCTCGAAGCCTCCCGTGGATCGGTATGTTCTTTAATAAAGAATAGTTGGACGCGCGGGCTCGCTCGGCTGGTGCGCGGCGCATGAAATTTCGCCTCGATGTTTCCAGTCGTGTAGCTACCACCACTACACCACGCTGCTTCCCCGTCAAATTACCCGCGCGAGAGGGAGGAAGAGGGAGGAAGAGGGAGGAACGAAGGCTGAAAAGCGTACGCTTATCAATTATGAAAATTTTTCTCTAACCTTAGGAAAATTTTATATTAAAGGGAAATAAATTGCGGATTTTTAAATTACTTTTATTTCCCGCTGTATAACGTGCGTTTCACGAACGTAACATCGTGACAGAAGGATCGTGTGCACCTGGAGAGAGAAAAAGACCTAAGACTACTAATTTTTCAGTTTTCGAACAGCGAAAAATTTATTTTCTTCGTGAAATGATTCACATTTCCTCCTCAAGGTAACATCATTCACATGGAACGTTCTGTAAAATACATGTACATATATGATCTCATGTGACAAATTTCAGATCAATGCTCTCGAGTTAAAGGGCAATTATCCTCATTTGAAAAATATTACCGGATGATAATATCACTTGAAATTTCAAACGATTAAAAACAGTTGAAAATGATAAAATGATTGAAAGCTGTGAATTATCGGGATAGTGGCGTAGTGCCACTTCTCTTTGGCCTCCTCGTTTTGAAGACTCTCTTTTTTACGTTTTTATCAATTTTAAAGTTTACCACGAGCTTTTTACGAGGACGCTTTTTAAAGTAAACTCGAGAAAAGCGCGCAATTCTAACCAAGGTAAAATTAAAAAAAAGCTATATACCGAATACTGGCGTAGAGACACGTCCG